TCTCCTGCCTTCTCCAAATTCTTCACCCTTTTGTGAATAGCCCTGTGAAATTTCAGTTTTGGCTGGACTTGGCTTTTAAAGGGAAGCGTTGCCCATAGCACCTAATAGGATTTCACTGGCTGTTTTCTCCTGTGGGTATGAAAATAAAACTTAAAGAGACCCTGTTACCAATGTTTCAAAATTGCCTGCCCCCCCATTCCTTGGTAGCATGCACCCCCCCTCCCCTCCCACTGCCTCAGGTGGCCAAAGTGCTAGGGATGCCCCTGCCACTAGGCATAAATGAGCACGTAACCCTTGCATTAACACTTTTAATTGCTCTGCAGGTGGACTTTAACTGCAACTAAGAAAAAGCAGATCTCCTCCTTTTCCAGGCAGGGCAATGCTGCGTGGCAGAACTGTGAAAACCTTAGGACAGGACAGAAAGAAATACCAACACAACAGCTTTTTTATAACCAGTATTTCATCTGTGTAGTTAGCTGCTTGCCTGGAGTCAATTGGCACACATTACAATCTGCTTGTACAATCTCTGCCCAATCTAACTTAGATTTTCCAACAGCTGCATAATGCGAGGGCCTATCAAAGCAATCCGTTCAATTTCAATTCAGCCCGGCAGCTTTTCAGAGGGCATTATTGGTGCAGGATTCCATTAATAAGCATGAAATATCTGAACCCATGTCCGGACTGAAAGACGCTTTAATATTTATGATCCGGTGCAAAATCTAGGTATCGCAAGCGTCTGATGAAAAAGGAACGAATTCGGGGCAGACGAGACCCTTTAAACAGCTGTCTGTGAGCCCCTTTACAGCGACGACCTCAGCTGCAGCTGTTTAGAAGTCGGAGCTGTATTTTCCGTGTGAAAAATGGGAGGAATTTCATCCAAATGGGGAAAGTCACAGCTGGTAGAGTCATTTAGCCAATAGAAAACTGGCAAAAGAAAGGAGGAGAGGGGGATGGGGACGCGTTAGGGCTCATTAGGAGAAACTAATTGCCACCTTGTTATGGGACAGGAAAAAAAAAAGAAAAAAGAGAGCGAGGGAAATTCTTTCCAGGTCTTTTTTTTTCTTTTCATTTTAATGGTGGAAAAAGGAACGTGTTAGGAAGCTACGAGAGAAAAATATAAGGTGAATGGAAATGGGGAATATATATATATTTATATATATGTACTGTACATAAAGAAAAAACTTGAAGTGCATTTTGAATGCAGCTTCTATAAATGCTTACATTTGTTATTAGCCTTCCCTATGCAGCAGCACTTACATTGGAAGGCTGAGGGGTTGCAATCAGAACCAATTATGCTTTGCTGACTGGAGAAGAGAGCAGAGAAATTATGATATCAGTATACTGTTGCTCCTTAGTTTTCCAATCAGTAGGCTGGGGGTGTGGTTTGATGAGCAATCCCGCTGCTACAATGGGAAGGGGGGGACCTGGCTGCATTGTCTGGTAGTGATACCTTGCTCTATGGGGTAAAAAAAATAAAAATGGCCAGGTTGGAATTTCAGCCAACCGCCCCCTGTTCCCCTAAAATAGCATTACCAAGGGTGCCTGGAAGATTTATGTAGGCTCACATTTGGGCTCTTTCTAACATAAGCATACTAGCAATCACAGGGATGTAGTAGGCAATGTAGCTGCACAAGATGAATAGTACAAGTTAATAATTAGGACCACACAATGAGTAGCCTGAATTTGTTTATAAGCTGCATTTCTATATTGTATTGGAATGAAGCTTTAGTGATTGTGGGGTTTTGTACTGAAGAGTTGCACATAGGTTTGCTCATTTGTGTGGCCAGTTTGGAGTTACTCTACGTGAGGGCTTTCCAATCCCAAATCTAGAGCAAATAAAGTGCATCTGAACCTTACCATGAAGAATACAAGAAACAATGGCGTGTCTTGCACTTGTTCCAATCTTTATGTTGTTTTCCCTTCAGTTATCTTTGGTTTTCCTTATTTCCTTAATAAAATCCTGCCCGCAGCTGATAATAGATTTACGGCTCTTTTTTTTCTAGGGTATCATATAACACAGAGCATTACCTAAATTATTCCATGGTCCCACAAGCCATGGTGCCTCCCCACTGGTTCAGGTTGTGAAGACTGGTCCAATAAAGTCATTTTTCTTTTAAGTCTCTGATCCATCATGCGGCTGCCCCTCTCGCGATGTCGTCAGGCACAATACAGGACCAATGCAAGTGATCCTGACTGTTACAGTCTGATGGACACTTCCTGTGTCAGGACAACACGGACCTTAACCAAGAACCAGGTCCAGCTGGAAATATGTTCTTACACTCTCCAGCACTTGAATGGGGGTAGGCACTTCTACATCATCACATACAATACATGATCACTGGTGGCTGCTGGTCCTGTATTACATCTGATGACATCACAAAAGGGGAAGCCACATGATGGGTCGGAGACCGGCAAGAAGAGTGGCTTTAGAGGACCAGTCTTCACAACCTGAACCAGCGGGGGAAACTATGGCATGTGGGACCATTTGTGCTTATACTGTCCTTCCTCCTGGAGGGTGGCTACTTTTGTTTCCCATGGTCCCTGTGTGTGTTGTAAAGTAGCCACCGCTCCAAGCTCGCTCCCGTGATGGACTACAATCTCAAAACACACTAGTAAACTAAATGTGAGATTGTAGTCCATCACAGGAGCGAGCTTGGAATGGTGACTACTTTACAACACACACAGGGACCATGGGAGGACAGTGTCAGCGCCAATTCAGAGATGATTTGAGGATCTACAGCCGAGTGATACACAAATAAGATACATTTTTGGTAATAGTTAAGGTATTTGAACACATATTTTTAAGATTTTACTTCTGAGCTTTGTGTACTCTGTGTTATATGATTCCCTAGAAAAAAAAAAAAGCAGTAAGTCCTTTATCAGCTGGGGGAGGCCAGTTTAATAATTGTGTAAATGTCCGGAACTAGGATTTAAAGTATATTTCCAATTTTGCAGCCAAATTTGGATACCAACTTCTTTATATTTGTTACATGTTCCCATTCACATTGTGTAACTTAAAAAAATATAAAAAAAATAGCTGCTTACATTTTTAAGTAATTTATACTTGCTTAAAAAAAATCTACCTAGCTTTCCCACTATGTAATGTTAAGGAGGGTGCTGTGGGAAGTCATGTTTAGAGCTTGGAATGGTGACTACTTTACAACACACACAGGGACCATGGGAGGACAGTGTCAGCGCCAATTCAGAGATGATTTGAGGATCTACAGCCGAGTGATACACAAATAAGATACATTTTTGGTAATAGTTAAGGTATTTGAACACATATTTTTAAGATTTTACTTCTGAGCTTTGTGTACTCTGTGTTATATGATTCCCTAGAAAAAAAAAAAAGCAGTAAGTCCTTTATCAGCTGGGGGAGGCCAGTTTAATAATTGTGTAAATGTCCGGAACTAGGATTTAAAGTATATTTCCAATTTTGCAGCCAAATTTGGATACCAACTTCTTTATATTTGTTACATGTTCCCATTCACATTGTGTAACTTAAAAAAATATAAAAAAAATAGCTGCTTACATTTTTAAGTAATTTATACTTGCTTAAAAAAAATCTACCTAGCTTTCCCACTATGTAATGTTAAGGAGGGTGCTGTGGGAAGTCATGTTTACTCTAATTAACCCTGTCTGTACTGTACTGGCTGATCTCAATATCAGTTGTAAACAAGATTTAAACAATGCCTATCCTAACAAAGGGTTAAAGACTTAGAAGCCTTGTGTGTTAATGAGAGGAAGCTCGGCCTGTTCTCCAGTTTGTCCCTCTATTTAACTTTAAAACTGCTCAGCGTAGCCTGCAATCTGCACAAAGGCCTTCACCAAAGAAATATTTAAAAGTATTTTTTAAAGTATTTTTTTTTTGGTATGTTGTGTGGAATGGGAAGACATAACAAACATATAGTGAGGGGTTTCTCAAATATGGCTGCAAACGTTTAGATATGTAAACTTTTTACATTTCCATTTGTTCATGTGTTGCACCAAATTAAAAAAAAAACAACAAATGCTTTGTACCAGGAACATTATTCTAACACCTTTAAAAAAGGAACAAATCAAAATAAATAGCAGTTTGCTCTAATAATTTTTTTTTTAACCTTAAAACTTGTATGTACAATTTTAGCTAACTCGTTTTTTTATTAACTTCTCCATTCCCTTTCTTTCTTTCTTTTTTTTTTTTACTGTATGTATAGACATTGCAAAAACTTAATTTTGTTTTTCTTTTTGTAACGCTGAATTAAAATGCACTTTGGGATCTTCACCTTGGGCGGCAGAGGACCTTGTTTCCGACACTGTATATTAGGTATAATGACTAGGGCACAGGCCCTTGTCCCAGCACTGTATATTAAGTATAATGACTATGACACAGGCCCTTGTCCCGGCACTGTATATTAGGTATAATGACTATGGCACAGGCCCTTGTTCTGGCACTATATATTAGGTATAATGACTATGGCACAGGCCCTTGTTCTGGCACTGTATATTAGGTATAATGACTATGGCACAGGCCCTTGTCCCGACACTGTATATTATGTATAATAACTATGGCACAGGCCCTTGTTCTGGCACGGTATGTTAGGTATAATGACTATGGCACAGGCCCTTGTTCTGGCACTGTATACAGTATTAGATATAATGACTATGGCACAGGCCCTTGTCCCGGCACTGTATATTAGGTATAATGACTATGGCACAGGCCCTTGTTCTGGCAGTGTATATTAGGTATAATGACAATGGCACAGACCCTTGTCCCGACACTGTATATTAGGTATAATGACTATGGCACAGGCCCTTGTTCCGCCACTGTATATTAGGTATAATGACTATGACACAGGCCCTTGTTCTGGCAGTGTATGTTAGGTATAATGACTATGGCACAGGCCCTTGTTCCGACACTGTATATTAGGTATAATGACTATGACACAGGCCCTTGTTCTGGCAGTGTATGTTAGGTATAATGACTATACAAATATGCATAAATAAGACACCTGCCTTACCTTTGCAGGCTCTTCGGTCGGTGATGGGTCGGCTGACGTCCCGGTAGAAGCCCTCTTTGCAGTAGTGGCAATGCCTGCCCGCTGTATTGTGCCTGCAGTTTAGGCACACACCTCCGCTCTTCCTTCCAGACAGCTTGTACAGTTCCATGTTGAAGCGACAACGGCGAGCATGCAGGTTACAGGTACAAGCTGAGAACACAAAATTGTCACAGTCAGAGGGTGGGTGGTTGTCACTTGAGTTATCCACATGACTAGTATTTCATTGAACTTATAATAAAGTGTGCCCATTAGTCCTGGTGAAAATATTTCAGTGATGTTTTATAAGAACAAAAACAACAGTCAAAAACAGCTCACTTTTTTGATCCACATTTTATTAGTTTGCCAAAATATTGTTTTTTCTTTTCAATCATTTTTATTAATTTGTAAAGCACATGCAATGTACACAACAATTCAAAACACCAGCAAGTATTGTCATTCCAGCATCCAAACCCCAGCATACTGTATGGGGAGTATGGGGAGTTTGGGTCGCCCGATTATCGGTAATCGGGCCGTTGTTCACAAAATTTGTAATCATCGGTATCGGTCTTAAATTGTCTAGTATTACAAATACCGACCATAAAGGGGAGCCAGCGCACCAACCAATACGGCTCATCCCCAATCGGTCACCGGGCTATGTGTTCGTCTGCCGGCCTAAGGTTCCACAGCTGGATGTAAACAGAATGTCGGCACCTGACCTCGGTTAGTAGCCTGAAAGGTGGCCCATAATTGGTATTGGTTCTGAAAAAAACCCGATATCAGTCGACCCCTAGTGGGGATCGATTAAAGCCCTTCTGTAGTAGGATGCGCTAAAATGATTTAGTACAATGATACTCAGATTATTGACATAATTAAAACAGCAATACTATAGTACAATAATACCAAGAGGACTAAAACAAGGACATGGGGTTAAAATCAAAGATGTCCCCTAAACGGGGCTCCATCCACTCTTACAAACTTGCCTGTGAACATCTACCATCATATCAAGAGTTACCACAGAGTCCCGTAGTGAATTTAAATCCACAGAAGGAAGGAGTTGAATGAAGAAAGGAAGGAAAGAACACCAAGAACTAGACTATAGAAAAGGGGAAAAGAAGGGAACGGGAAGGGATTCAGTATCGGAGCTCCTCCAAGCCACCACATCATAATGTGACAGCTCATTACAAAGCCAAGCTCATCCTCAAGAGCTCAGGGTGTGCATAATGGATCCATAGATCCCAAACCTTTGAGAAATGTCTATTGTGAGTTGGTGAGGATACGCATCAGTTTTCCATTAACAAAATATTGTTTTTTCAATAAAACATAGAAACTTCAATCAATCACCAATCACATTGGCTCTACCTGTGATGACCCGAGTAGGAAGCATATTTTTAAAGCAGGCTGGCTGTGAATGGCAGGGTTTTAAGCCCACCAGCTGATTAAAGCACACCTATGATATGTATATGTAGGGCAAAGCGATAGGTTACTATCTGCAAGGAGTTTGCATGTTCTCCCTGTGGGTTTGCTTCGAATACTCTGGTTTCCTACCATGCTCCAAAGACATGCTGGTAGTCTAATTGGCTCCTCTCTAAGTTGGCCCTCTATGTGAGATAGGTACCTTAGATTGTAAGTTCCTTGAGGGTAGGGACTGATGTGCAACTATTTAAAGTGCTGTGTAAATTGTTGGCGCTATATAAATAGCTGTAATAAATAAATACCCCCTCCTCAGCATCACCTACTCATCGTTCCTTTGTTCCCCCAGCACTCTGCTGCTGGCACCGAGCAAAGGAAGCCATGTATAAGCTCCAAGTAGGAGCTTACACTGCCTAAGTACTCCCTACCTGCCCTTATGTGGTGGGCCAGTAACCAAACACAATTGCTGTCCCATGAGCAGAAGTGGAGTGAGTCACATGTTTTTCCATACCCAGCAGTACTGATGGAAGAGTCAAGGCTGTGACAAAGTGCACGCGAAGCAGCGCGGAGCGGTGGCCCGCTGCCTTCGCGAGCAGTGTGTCATGTAATATTCCCCTCGGCACCTCAGCTTGTAAGAGCTCGTGTAGCTGAGCGAGCCGAGATGAAAAATGTAATCTTCAGCCAATCGGCTCCCGGGCTAAACCCGCGCGTCAGCATGCGACATCTGGCTGGTTGTTACGCACGAGCCGATTGGCTGAAGGTGCAAACATCTGCATGCACTCAGCTCACACACTGCACGCAAAGCTCCGTGCCAGACAGCTTTGCTTCACTCTGCACGGCTTTGCGTGGAGTGTGTCACAGGCTTAAAGGAAACTGATGGGGCCAAGCATGGACAAAACACAGATTTTCTTTAAAGCTTGTTCAGCTCATTGACATACCTATTGTGCTTAATGGGACCAATTTGCCTTGTTGCTATGTAGTACTTATAAAAACATGGGATGCTGTTCATAAACCTTAGTAACCAGTAATTGCTCTCTGGAATATGTAATTTGGAGTAAGTAATTGCACTTCGGACATATATTGCTTCTCAGCTTCTGAAACTGATCTTATAAATATATGACTCTGATACACCCAAAAAATAATGTAACAGCTGAAAAATTTTAAATGATTAAGTTTCCTTCAACTCAACCTGAAACCTACCTCTAAGCTTCAATAAAATCTTAACCTCATTCCTCACCTTAACCCATAACCTAACTTTAGTCTCCTGTGGTCAGCTGTCCATCAGATCTCAAACTGGGAGAAGAAGAAACAGCACCTTAGGCCAATCAGACTCTGTTGTATTACACATTGCATTCAGTCTAGCATGGAGAGCTATCAGGAAAACAGGGAGCTCAGGGATGACATCATCAGTGAGCCACTGTTACTACACTATCCAGTGGGATTGTGGTGGTTCATGACTAGGCTGCATTATGTTAACTGTAGTGCAGACAATAAAGTTTAGGGACCTGGCTATGCTCTGTGGCAAGAGTACCTAGAACACAATAGTGGCTTTAATAAAATACATCATTTATGGCTGGTGAGGTAGTTCATGCATATGCGGTTCAACAGTGTATTTAATTTTTGCTTTGAGTTCAGCTTTAACCTAAACCCTAAACTGAGGCCTTAAAGTGCCAATCTACCCAAAATGGATATTTTACTTGGGTCGGCCCCTTGAACCTCCAGACCAGGCATTCACCTTATCACAGAGAATAATTTTGATGAAAATAATGCTGATATTAGTGCAGATATTTTGATGTTTACACCTAAACAAATCATTTCTGTATTACTGACTAAAAATTAAGTACCAATAAAATGTTCCCAACTGGTGCTGAAAGACCTGAGCCGAATTGTCCATATTTAAGACAATTGACCTCCACTTGTTTAGGGTAAGGGTAATTGAAAATAAATGGCTACACTTTTATATCTTGTCAACAGATGGCAGCACTCATATGCAACAAGTTGTGTAGGTTCTGCTATGTTGTGTAGGTTCTCTTCCATTACCTCAACTGGAAGCAGGTCATTACAGTGAATGGTTGATTTGCTATTGAAGTGGACCCTGAGGGTCAATCCTTGTGCCGTTTTTGAGTGCCCAACAGCAGGTGTTGCAGCAATCGAAATTAACCAACATATAGAAACTGTTTATGGCCATTACTGTGTTGCAAATGTGAATGCTGTACTTCACTTGGCCGAAAACGTCTGGGAAACAAAGGTGTGTCCGACGGGTGACATCAATTGATGAGCTTCACAGGAAATGAACTGATTAAGGATACTCGGTTAGAAATCTCTCATGGAATAAGCATTTTACAACAGCTTGCAGGTCAAATGTTTGCTCTTCTTGGATACTGGAAGGTTTGTGTGTGATGGGTTCCTCACAATGGGATGCTCGCAGCTGAGATGCAAGCTGAAAAACTTTAAATTTGCCAGCAAACCTTGATGGTTTCACAAAACGTATAGTAACCCTGTCAAGAAAATTATGCTGAGAAGAAAGCAGGTTTATGCATACCTGCCCATTGACCCATTTGCCAATGAGTCAACACCTCAGTCTAGTTGGATAGCAGCTCCCTCAGCTGGCCACTGTGGTTCCCCCTACTGACCCCTAGGAAATGGAGAACACAATAGTAACACAGGGGCCAATGGGATGAACCACAGTAGCCAATGGGAAACACCATGGAGCAGAATCAGTTCCAGATACATTGCTATAGATCATAATTTTAGCAAACGGGCTGATGGAAAGGCATATGTAAACCTGCTTTCTTAATGGGTAAAGCCTTTCTAATTTTGCCGACTCCCTAACAGGGTCACTTTATTTATCTTGGGCAGAAATGTACACAACTATCCGGTGGCTATGAACTTACGTAATGAAAGAGAATATTCTAACACAGAGGTATCCTTTGCCACTCCAGCAACAGTGGAAGTCCCATAAGGCATTGCAAGACTCTGACTGCCAACGACATGACCTCCAGAGGCAGATGCATGATGGGATTTGTCATTTCACCGCAGCTGGAGGACTGAAGTTTGGCTACCCCTGTTCTAAGGGGTCTATTTATAAATGTTTTCAGAAGTTATATACAACTATCACCCAAAGTTCACATAGTTTTTGGAATCTAGTTAGAAAATGTGTAAATCTTGGGTGAAAGCTGTGTGAATCTTGAGTTATTTCTGCTATTTCTGTTTGATTAGTTAAAATATTCCCATTTACTCCTGAACCTCATATGGGCAACTTACAACTATGGAGAGTCTCTGTTTTTGAAAGGATCATTTTTTAATCAGAGCAACGAAGGACGCAGGAGATAATGTGACTCCATTTGTATATTTCTCTCATAGGTTTAGTAAATTACCTCCTAAATGTCACACAGAGCATATGTTAACACTTTCAGTGCTATATGTGCTAATTTAATTCTTCCTGGCTGCAAAGGTTTCTCTGGGAATCTCCAAGGGATTGTATATTTACATATGTATAGGTATGCAGAGCTGGTGGGCCAAGGGTGTCTTTTGTGGGGCACGTGTGTGTGTCAGTTGGGGTTTGGTGGACTCCACCTGGGTTTGTCTGTTCTTCTCTCTGTCTGTTGAAATGTCTTTCTGCGTGTGTGGCTGCGAATGGTGTGACTTGTATATACAAAGGTTGTCTCTTTAATGTGTACATACGCTGATGGATTTTAAACATTGTATATGATATATGTCTATGAATTTATGAGCTGGATCAGGCTGCAATAGAAAATACT